GCGCCCGCCGCAGCCGCCTGCTCGCCCGGGACCTCGGGGCGCCCATGACGGCGGCCGCCACGGTGCTCAAGGAGGGCGTGCTGGAGAAGCGCAGCGGCGGGCTGCTGCAGCTGTGGAAGCGCAAGCGCTGTGTGCTCACCGAGCGCGGGCTGCAGCTCTTTGAGGCCAAGGGCTCCGGCGGCCGGCCCAAGGAGCTCAGCTTCGCTCGCATCAAGGCCGTGGAATGCGTGGAGAGCACCGGACGCCACATCTACTTCACGCTGGTGACAGAGGGCGGTGGCGAGATCGACTTCCGCTGTCCCCTCGAGGACCCTGGCTGGAACGCCCAGATCACTCTGGGCCTGGTCAAGTTCAAGAACCAGCAGGCCATCCAGACCGTGCGGGCCCGGCAGAGCCTCGGGACCGGGACCCTCGTGTCCTAAAGGGCCTGGCCTCCCATCTTACCTTCAGGCTGCCCACCCACGAGGTGCACAGAGCCCACTCCAGGTAAGCTCCCCAGGGGTCTGAGCCCACTCTCTCCCTCCCTTTTGTGCTTCTACAGAGAGAATGGGGCTCCCACTTGAAAGCTGGGCGGTCCCAGGGCCAACAGAGATGGAGCTCCAGAGTGTGGGCTTATGGGCTCCAGACTTTCCGCAGGGTGTCAGGCATGAGGGTTCTGGGGTGACCCGGGCCTGAGGAGGATGAGTGATGGGACTTCCCCCTGGCTGGTGGTTACATATCCCCAGGCTGCTGGGCCTCTGCCAGGGCCATGGCTTCTGAGAGCTGGGAAGAAGGGGTGGTGGGATGAACCCAAGCTTGTCCCTTGCCTGGAGGACAAACATTTGTCTAGAATGGCTGAGCACAGAGTTAAGAAAGACAGTCTCCCGCGGGCAGTCATCAGAGGTGGGGGAAAGAACCAGAGTCCCACAGTGGGGCCTCCCACAGTGGGGCTTCAGCAGGAGGCTTGGCTGGGCCCTTGGGTGCCACTGTCCATTCTTGACAGGGCATTGGGTCCTGAGCTGTTGAGGGGCCAGGAGAGTCAGAGGGTAGGCAAGCGATGCGAGGCCATGCCAAGGAAGCCAAGGGGGGGTGGGCCTGTCTGCCTTCCCTTGGTGCCAGCCTGTGCCCACTGTGCCAAAGAAGACACTGTGGGAGGCACTGGGACCCTGGAGCCAGGAGGCGAGTGGGGTGCAGGATGGTGCATGATTGGTGCTGTTTTAATCCTCCTTGGGCAGCAGAGTCAGGAGTGGGGGGCGACTTGTTGTCAGGAAGACCCAGGGGAGGGTCCAGGAATAGAACCTAGAAGCCTGGCTCCCAGCCCCGTGCCCTCTTCCCCAGATGCCACTCCCTCCTCATGGGAACTAACAGCAGGTTGGAGGAAGAGGTTATAACCTTGTAGTTTAAATTTCTCTGGTGGAAACCTACACCCAGTCACCCCACTGCCGCCTCCTACGCTCCCTCACCCTCCCTGCCCTGCAGCTTCTCTACCTGAAGAAGTGAGCCACTGAGCCTGAGCGCCCCCACCGGGGTCCTGGAGTCCTGACCCCCCTGCTAGCTGGGCCTCAGGTCCCCTTGAGGCTCCGAGGCCTTGCTGAGAACTGACCCTCTGGTCCTCAGGCCTCGGGGAGGCTGACAGGACCCAGGTCCCTGCATTCACTTGTGTGTTTTACACGTGCTGTTTTCTGTTTGTCCCGATGTGGAGCACACTGGGGAGTAATGCAAGTGCTCGGTACCCTGGTATCTGCCCCTGTCCTAACTGCTGTTCTTCCTTGCCAGCTTCCTTGCCCCTTTTGGCTCATGGGGGCCTGACTGTGCCTGAGGTGGTGAGGCAGAAGCAGTGGACACATGTGGAGGACATGTTGGAGCTGAAGGAGTGGACTGGCCCACAAGGGGCTGAGGATGAAGATTCAGCCCCTGGACACTTTCAGACTCTCAGGACATAGCCAGCTCAGGGCCTCGAAGCCCCTGGCCTGGCCTCGGGCGTCGTGATGGAGAGCCGGCACCAGAGCCCCGCCCCGTGCCAGCCCTGCCATCTGTTACACGCAGACTGCTGTTAGGCCCCGGCTTGGTGCCTGCCAGGAGGAGCGTCATCCCCATGGGGTTTAAGCCAGCGCCTCAGGATTTGGGTGGGGGGCAACTTGGTACTCAGAGGAGGAACCACCCTGGACTCATCATGGCCAGGGGAGCTGATGGGCCTGATGCCCGCACTTGGGGGTCTCCTGCTGCTTAGGTCCTTCTGGGACCCCCACCCATCCAGGCCCTCTCTTTGCACACTTGTTCCTCCACCTCCTGCCCATCTTCCCTCCACTGTGGTGCCAGGCCTGGAGGTGGTGGGGTCTGGTGGGGGTTTGGCCATTACCATTTCATACCTATCCCAAAATGAAGTTTCCTTGCCAAGGGCAGTGACCACACTGTTTGTTGAGTGAAATTTTTTACCCACACCCACCCAGTTCTTGGACTGCCTCTCCCTGCCCCTGTTTCCCCAGCCCAAAGCTCATTCTGAAACCTCTAGCCTGGGTTGGGAGGGGACAGGCTGGAGAGACATGGTCTCAGTGGTCCCAGGAAGGATGGACATTGGCCTGGGGGGAGGGGTGGGAGCCTCTTCAGCAGGATGCCATCCTGGGAGGTAGCAAGGCTTTTTGGGCAGCTCTTACCTCCCCGTCCTTTACACACTCAGACTTTATGCATTTAGAAAGCAAGGCTTCTGCCCTAGACGGTGTTTGAGGCATTGAAAGGAGTAATTTTAGCATCAGGGAAACTGAGGTACAGGGAAGTGGCTGCCCTGGGTTTTGCAGAAACCGAATCAGTCAGCCAGAAGATCTTTCCAGGTAGTAGTTCATTCCACCTGCTTTTGTGTGTCATCCACCCACCTCTGCCCTTCCTGGTTGCAAACCAGTGGCCTACTTCGGAATCTCTGGAAAGAGCAAGGAGGCTGAGTGGCCTCCCATAATTTTTCAGTTGCAATTTACAAGCCTCTTTGTTCTTCCAACCGGTTGGGCTCCCTGTCAAGACTCCTACCGCCCTCTTAAAACCTCATGTCCCATGTCTCACTCCCTCAGCCACCTCAGGAGCGTCTTGTTCATCTGATAAATGAACTGCACTTCACAGTTGGCTAAGAATTTGCCGATTAGAGATCTTTCCAATTACCTGTTAACTAGGTTGCACACCTACCCCCAGGGCAGCTCAGTGCCAGCGTGGAGGAGCAGTGCCCTCTGCTGAGAAAGAGCTGGGGGCTGTCGGTCTGCCGTGGACTCTGGAAGGAAAGTGGGGAGGCTGGCAGTGCTCGTTTATATGGGGGTAAGGGGAGGGGGGTCGGTGTTTGCCACTCCTTGACTCCAGCTCTGCCCGTGGGAGAGAGCATCCCGGCCTGTAAAACAGCAGCCTCGTTCTCCCAATCCAACCCAAAGGTGACTTGATGAAGGGGACATGGGCATAAAGAAAGATCTCCTGGCCATCAGATGTAGGAGCTCGATGGAGTCGGGGCCCCCGGCTGGCTCATGCAGCAGAACTGCTAAGTGCCTCTGCTGGGTTGGGCCCTGCACTCAGCCCTGGAGATGAGACATAACAGAGACTCCACCTGACCCTGCCCTGGGAGCCCAGAGGAAAGTGGGGAGATCTAAGGCCAACCTGTGTCAGCAGGACTGGCTGGGAACAGCGGAGGGAGCTCTGGGCCACATAGCAGGCCTGGGAGGGATGGTCTGAGAGCTTGACAGCAAAGGTCAGAGGGGTAGAGGGAGGTGGTGTGGAGGGGGGAGCTAGAACTTGCAGCTTTCCGAATCTGCGAGGGACTCAGCGATCTGGGCTCACATGCCAAGTCTTATTTTTATTTGCAAGGAGCTGTGACCTCTCTGGGGAGTCTGCCCTGCTGGTCAAGGGGCACCCTATATCCTGAGTCCATGGGTGTCCCCAGTACTCTGACAGTTCTGAATTCCAAAGGAGCACAAACCATCACCCACTTGGCTGGACCACAAGTAGGGTCAAGGCCTCCTTGGGGGCACGAACAGGCAGCAGACACGCGCACGAATGGCAGAATTGTGCTCGGCTGGCCTGTGGACGCAGAGAGGCCGCTGCCACCGCCTCTCCCCCTGCCCTAGCAGCCCTGGCCTCACCCCGCCCGCTACATGAGTCATCAATGGGAAAATGAGACAGGGCAAGTCCCTGCTGAGCAACAGAGTCCGCTGAGGAGAGGGGTGGGGAGGCTGAGAGCAGAAGGGATGGGCTGGCCTGGTCATGGTGAGCTGGGGCTGGGGCTGGGAGCTGAGGTTTTTGGCAAGAGTGAGGCAGGCTGTTGCCGGGGCAAGAAGGTGCTAGAATTAAGAGTCCCTGAGCTGAAAGTACTGCAGGAGGGGCGCTGGCGGATCCATCCACAGGGCGCCATGGAAGGAGCGTCTGGCCCTGCCACCTGGCCTTTCCCCAAGGACCCCAGGGTGGGAAGCGGCAGTGAGAACTCTGGGTGACGTGCTCTTCCAGCTCAGACTCTGGTCCTGCGTTGACCCAAATGCTATTGTCTCGTGGAATATGGGGTTGCCCCATCCTTCAGGGACAAGGGCTGGGGGCTCTGTAGATCTGACCTCACGTGGCAGTAGGGATACGTAGGTGTGTGTGCAGCTGTCCCCCGGGGCAGGGACCCTGGCGAGACTCTTGCTGTGAGCTTGCTGAGCAACCCCAAAGCTCTGGCCTGCCCCAGACTGCATCTCTGTCTGGAATGCCATTCATTCTGCTCAGAACCTCCTGAGGTTTCCCTGCAACTGTGGGAGGAAGGCCAAAGTCCTTGGAAGTGACATTTTCTACAATCAGGGCTCTTTCTAGTGTCTATTTCCACTACTCCCATGCCCAGGGGTCCCCTATGCCTTAGGCCCCCCTAAGTCCTGCATTGCATGCTCAGCCTCATCTGGCAGCAGAAGCTGCCTCTGACCGCCGAGACTTTGCACCCGCACTCCGACACAAGTTCGCCTTCTTGGCTAACCGCCCTGCCAGCCTCTGCTGCTCCCTTTGCAGGCGAAACAGCTCTCCTCTGCTCTGCGCGGCCACCCCTTCTCCATTCCACACGCTGTGCTGCACTGGCAGACTGAATGCTGTCAGTTCCTGTCATTTTTGTATTCCCATTCGAAGTGTTTGGCACACAGTAACTTCTTCCTAGCAAGAATGGCACGTGGCATATAGTGCTCGGACCTGAGAGCTGTATGATTATTGAATCGCCTCATGCTCCAACTCTACGCCAAGGGTCAGTGCCATTGGTAAAGTGTTTTGCTTTAAGAAACTGGGGCTCAGAGAGGTTAAGTGACTTGTTTGGAGTCACACAGCAGTTAACAAGTAGTGGAACCAAGGTTCAACCCCTGGGGTTCTAGGCAGATACTCGCAGCCCAGTACCAAACGTGTTAATTCTTATGGCATGACTGAATGCATGAGTGGATGAACCCACGATTTTGCTGGGAGAAAGTTCAGCTGTAGACAGCGAGAATGAAACACTGAGGAGTGGGGACCAGACAAAGGAATGTTCTGAAGGCTCGGGAGTGAGGAAGTTTCATGGAGAGGTGGCTAGATCAGGTGAGTCCAACTTCAGGAGAAGACACAGGAAGGTGTCCTTGGGCTGGGAGGATGGAGAGACTCCAGGGTGGGAAGCAGCAGTGACAACTCTGGTCAGTGAGAACTCAGGGAGAACTCAGACTCTGGTCCTGTGTTGACCCCAAATGCTACTTGTCTCATGGAGTATGGGGTTGCCCCATCCTTCAGGGACAAGAGCCGGGGGCTCAGTAGATCTGACTTCATGTGGCATTAGCTTTGGCCTAAGCACCCAGGTAGAGCTCACCCCCACTTAGCTGGCCAACCGCCTCAGTTGTCCTCAGATTCTCCTGAGAAAACTGTGTGTCCAGAGGAAGCCCCCAGAAGTCCTGGACAATCTGGGACAGGTGGTCACCCCACTCCCAGAACAGGAAGGACAGGAAGTCTTGCTTCTCCTACCCTCACGGTCTCTGCCCACAGCACTCCAGCCCCTGCAGACCCAGGCAGAGTCCAAGGCTGGGGCCATGTCACCATGGCCAGGGCCACATGGCCCTGGCTCAGGTCATCCCAGGGGAGCCACCAGGACGCCAGCTGCAGGGGCTCTTCGGTCAGTTCTGCCTCTCCTGGACCCCAACACAAAGCAATTCTCCTCATGCCAGTGCTTTGTAACACCTAGTGTCATCTGCACAGGGCCGAGCCCCGGCCAGCTTCCAAGGTAATGGAGACGGGGTTGGGGGGCCGGCAGAGGATGGGGGGCTGCAAGGTGGGGACTGCGCTGTGAGAGGTGGGACAGGGAACATCTGAGGTGGGCCCTGAAGGCAGGAGAGGATTCTGATTGTAGGAGGGGAGGCAGGGTGGGGGGCAGGGCGTTCCAAAGAGAAGGGGCAAGGCCTGGACAGGTGAGGTGGCATAGGCAGCACCATGGGCCTGCACAGGTCATGGCAGTGTGACAGCTGAGTGCCGTGGAGGGTTGGCTCGAGCCACTGAGCACTGGCCACAGGGTCAGGGCGTCTCTCATAGCCAATGGGAGCAGACTGCAAAGCTTGTGTTGCTAAAACACACACACACACATTTATTTTTTCTTATAAAAATATGTTCACTAAAGACAAATATGAAAGTTATAAAGTAGAAAATGACAATTACATTTCCATCTCGCAGAGGCAGCCTTTGTTAACAGTTTGCTGTGTTTCCTCCTACATGTATTTCTATGCAGCCACACATGTCATGGACAATGATTATATATGACAGAATATGTAACTTCTCCCACCTGGGGTCAGACTGTGCAGATCCTACTATCTTCTGGTTTTCAATGTATCAATATATTATGTGGTGTCAGGCCAGTAAAATGTTTTCCTTAAAAAAAAGAAAAAGGCTTATTTATTTATGCATACAAGAACTGGGGTACAGGCCAGAGGGGGGGGTGTTGAGAGGATTCACCAGAGACAGGGTGGGGAGCAGAACAGACAGACTGAAACACACTGCTGAGGGGAGCAGCGGATGAGACAGCAGAAGCCTGCTGCACCATGTGGGTCAGCTCCAGGGTGGGGACTGAACTCGGGCTGCAGTGGCTACAGATAGCTTCATAGTGCTGTGCTTAACCCCTTGTGACACCAGGGAGGGCCCAAGGCATTTAATGTCTGTATGTCATTCTATTCTATTTATTATTCTTTCTTTGAATTTATTTGAGAAACCAACCCCTTATATTTCTTTAATTTTTTTCTGTTATAAATAAGCTGCAGTGAGCACCTGCTGGTTGAACTCTGTCCCTGTCTCTGGTGGTTTCCTTAGAAGAATTCTTAAAGTGGAGTGGCTGGGTCCCTTGGGGACCAGGGAAAAGATGTGGTGGGTTCCTGACTTTGGAGTGGGCGTTGGGGGGTGGTGGTCAGGAGCCAGGGGAGCAGGGAAATGA